GTTATTATTTCGAGCCCTGATGCTTGCACCAACGACTAGATGGCTTTAAACCTTCACCACTTTGCCAAGTAATTAATCCGGTCGTTTGAACAAGAAAATATCGATTTCCAAACCAAAAATAATGAATTCAAGCAACCACGACGCTCCCCTTCAGGGTTAGGGCAGATATTCAATTATTCATTGTTCTTCGCGTAGCTGAGGAGGTCTGGTACTGACGGTCGCTTCCCGGAACTGACGTTTTCCTCGAAGCTCCGGGCTAAAATCAATACTGTGGAATTACCGCAAATGTTGCACTAATGGCGCTCGTCTGGTCCGGAAGGGGGACACAATGAGGAGGGATGGAGGCGGCTTAAATCACGCCAATCTACCACATCACCTCCGGGAGGATGGATGGTTGGGCACGTTACGTTTCTACCGTGATGGTGGCGGCGGGACCTGTCAAAGGGACTCGATACCCAACAGACCCATTAAAGACGTAGCTAATTTGTTGATTGCAATTTGCAGGAACGGGGACACGGAAAGGACCGTTAAATGCTTCCACCATATCTGGTCAGATAGATGCGTCATCCTGACTACCTATATGTCAAAAGTGTTAATATACGCCGATCTCCGCTCTGTTGTACGACCTTTGGCGTTTTTTCATGTTTCTAAGACAGTCAGAATAAGAAGCCCCAGTTGGGTCGTAGACATATTGATTTGCTTCACCGAGCACAACAGTTCCTTGTGATTCTCCCGACGTAAGTTTTAAACATCCCTTCCCCGGTCCCCTCCTTATCACTAGTACATGTGAGTTACCTCTCCATGCTGAGGCCGCTTGCCGCCCTCGATGTGCTCCGGTCTGTAGTACCACAGTAGACTCATCATCATCTCACCTGGAACACACACATAAACATCAACCTTCCGCAAACATCAGCAGTACTGTAACACACACGTCCGTTTTTGTTTTTTTATAAATTTTTTATTGAAACATGCAATGACAAGACGTGGTGGCGACACACTCAAGTTACACTTATATTCATGTTTCCACAATTTCAAGTTCCCCATTTAACTAATCAGAGTCGTTCCTGTAACTGTTGTCCTATTGTTTACCGCAATCTGAATCTAAAGTTCAGGGTTTTGCTCTAAAAATAAGTCACCCAACTGTCCGCCGTGTCCCACTGACAGTTTGCGGAGAGCCTTACCGTCCTCCTGATCCTCCCACAGCGCCGTCACCTTGGCAACGAACGGCAGGTCCTTCTTGCGTGGTCCTGACTTGAGCAGGACCGTGTCCCTCTCCTGTATCAGGTCGTCCTCCCGACACATCCCCCGGTAACACAGCCGCCGCACGGGCTTCCCCTGGGCCTGCAAATATACATGTTAAATAGATCTACTCTTCACAAAAAGGAACAAACTGTCTCTTACAGTAATAAAAACCGTGTAAATCCTAATCATATCCGTTATCATTTTACATCTCCTGTAGCTCGTGGGGATCAGTGAACGTTAACGTTGGCTATCTGAAAGTTTCATATTTTTGTCTACCCACAATAATCAGACTACCGTCTGGTGGGACCATTTTGCTAGTGCCTTCTCCCTCCTGACCTGTAGCCATACATTAGTAAGACTGTCCTGTGCCGGGAAGCGTGCAGAGCCAGGCCGCCAGCCTGTTTGGAACGTGTCCAACTTGTCGAAACGATTATCAGTTTCCCATTCAACCATTCCCAAACGGTAGTAAATCAGGCCCAATGAACTGCACGTGGTGTAATTGTTTTCGTGTCGCGAGACCATAAACGTGTTTTGATTTGCACCACGGCTTACCCGTTTTATGACAAGTTCTGACACGGTTTTTATGTAGCATTCTCTGTCGATGAACACTGCGGCAGCGCCGAGAAGAGAGTTCATAACCGTCCCACATAATCCCGCATCTCTACTTCCTACACACAAGTGTCCGTCACAGTCTGGGAGGAGACAAGCTCTGTACGAATCCTCAAATTATATGGCCTAACTTAAGCCTGTTAGGAATAGATAAGCCTTGGCTCTTCAGTTATTTGACAGAGTTGTTAGATTTGTGGGGGTACGCCGGTTAAGGCATAAAAGGCTTATAAGGAAGTGCCTATAACTAAAGCGACGGTCACAACCCGCCGTACGTGCTTCTGCGTGCTGTCTACGTTCAAAAACGTGGTCAAACGTAGGGCATCCGTGCGTGGTGAGTACCACCTCCGTACGGAATCCTACGGATTTGGGAGCACGCAGACACGCCGTAGAACTTTAAGTGCATGTAAAACTTTTTCTACGTGCGGTCTGCGGATTCACCACCCGTACGTGCGAGTACGAGCGACGCGCGTGCCCCGTACGTGCCGTGCGGAAGAAGCACGTGTGAGTACGGCCTCCTTACGGTAAAGTTGCAATCGCACGGAGATCGTACGTTGTAAGCACGTACAACTCACTTACCACTTGCGCAACGTACGATGCACGCAACCTAGTCTCTACCAGACTCCTTTGCAGGCTGAATAAATAGTAGAAATCGGCAAAGGGGGAAATCATTGGCCAGAGGAGTTGGCCGGCCATAGAGGGTCCAGTTTGCCTG